TGGCACTTCTGCTAACTTTGATGATACCACTTTATTATTAACACTGTAGGTAAGATATGTCTAAATACAGCTTTAGCACTGTGTGTGTGTGTGTGTGTGTGTGTGTGTGTGTGTGTGTGCTTATGGGTGCATGCGTGTGGGGACTCATGCATAGTGTGTGTGTGTGTGTGTCTGCACGTGTGTGTGCTTATGGGTCCATGTGTGTGGGGACTCATGCATAGTGTGTGTGCGTGCGTGTGTGTGTGTGTGTGTGTGTGTGTGTGTGTGTGTGTGCTGTGCTTATGGGTCCATGTGTGTGGGGAGGGACTCATGCATAGTGTGTGGATGTGGTTATGGATGCATGTGTGTGGGGAGGGACTCATGCACAGTGTGTGAATGTGCTTGTGGGGGCATGTGGCAGGGGCAGGGGCGGGCTCCTGCACAGTGTATAAATGTGTGCAGGCCAGAGGTTAACCTTGGATGTCATTCCTCAGGAGCTGTTCTCCTTGCTTTTGTTGGAGATAGGGTCTCAACTTGTCCTGGAGCTCACTGATTATGCTAAGCCGGCTGACCAGAAAGCCCCAGGGATCTGCCAGTCTCCACCTCCCCAGTACTAGGACTGTAAGAGTGTGCCATCATGCCTGACTTTTTCACATAGGTTCTGGGGATTGAACTTGGATTTTCACACTTGTGTGGCAAGCACTTTGCTGACTGAGCCATTCATTCTTAATTTAGTGTGCTTTTCCTCCAGTTTTGAGACAAATGATACTAAACTCCATTGCTAAATAAAAACAGCAATTTATTGCTGTTATGGTTCCCCATGCTGCCTGGGCTCACTGACCAGGAAGGTCAGTCATCACTTAGGGTTTCTCAGGGAGTTGTTCAGCTGGGACTCCAGGTGTGCAACTGCCAGGCATCCTCTCTCGTGTGGCCATAAGTTGAGTTTGGCTGCTGTTGGTGGCAGGCTCAGGAGAGGCTGATTGTCTAGTATGCCTTGTGCAAGCTGCCTGGGTTTTTTACCTGACAGTGTTTGAATTCTAAAAGAAAGTGCACAAAGCTTTTCACAGACCCAGGTACAAACCTTGAGGATTCCGCTGTTCTCACCTTAGAAATCACTCTGCCTCATTTCCACCAAACTCTTGTTTTGGGAGACAGAAGTGAGTCACAGGGCCATTGCAGATGTAAGAGGAGTGTCACTAACAGTGTGTGAGTATTGGTAGGAATGGTTTATCGGGAGGTTTCCTTGGAAAACTACCATACAGCATTCATAGAGTTTAAAAGTTTATTTTAAAAAATGTACATGAAGGCCAAAGTTTTATCACTCTAAAATGAAGACAAAATTTTCAATATCTTCTACTTGTGTGCATTTTAATATTTAAATTTCATCCATTTAATGAAACTTTAAAAAGTAAATAATGGGGCTGGTGAGATGGCTCCCTGTGTTGAAGCACTTGCTGTCAATCCTGATGACCTGGGTTCAGTCCCTGGGACCTACAAGGTAGAAGGAGACAACTAATTCCTGAAAATTGTCCTCTGAGTGCCACGCTTTTGCCATAATGAATAAACTATATGCAGTAAAAATAATGGCATAGCAAGCCGGGTATGGTGTCACACTCCTTTAGTCTCAGCACTTGAGAGGGAGGCAGATCTCTGTGAGCTCAAGAGTGAATTCTAGGACAGCCAGGGCTACACAGGGAAACCCTGACTCAAAAACATAATAATGGCAGTGCATCTGAGAGCTGGTGGGAGGGAAGCTGAAGTATGGCAGATGGAAGGTCAGCAGACACAAAGTCTTCCAGAGCTATAACATAATGACACATCTAAAAAATGTTCCAGACTCATTCAGACTCATTACAGATTTCTGGCAGACCATGATAACTGTCTTACTGATTAGGAACAGGATGGCTGTGAGCACAAAGCAGATAATGACAACTTCGGTAGTTGAAAACGAGTCATCCTTAAATTTTTTTGAGTCACAGATCTGTTTGAGCATGTGAGGAAATTAGAAACTTCTCTTTGTATATAAAACGGGGTATTGATTCACCTTTGTGTTCTTTCCTTCTAATGTTCTTTCCTTACTCTCCCTTTCTTCTCTTTTCATTCTTTCCATATTTATTCAGAGGGAACTGACTCTGGCCAGAGAGCAACTAGACCAAAGAACAGAATAGGACAGGCACGCATGTTCCTAGATAGGAGGACTCCCAAATCTCTTAGAACACTATTCGTAAGACCATCCCAGATCATTGTAACAAACTCTATGCAGCTTCTTATAACTTTATTATTCCACCCATAGAATCTTCAGTGTGGCTCTGCCATCAATACTTTCTCTTTGAAACTGAAGGGCAATTTAAAAATTTTATTTTTTTATTTTAAAGGAACATAACACAAACCATGTGGATGTGGCTTTTTCAATGGCATTTGGTCTATGGGTGTTGACTGGTCTGTTTTATTTACTATTTATTTATTTTCACCATGGTGAATCACATACAGTGGTAGATAGTACTGACTTTCTAGTCAACAGAAGATTCCTAGGGAATTTCAGAAATGACTGCAGGATGAATCATGCTAGGTCTCCTAGAGCCTTCATCTCACCTCTTGCTTAGTGAGCTGTTTGCTCTCATCCCTGAAGCTAAGTGGACCATATAGCCATGGATTCACATTGCATAGTGTCAGTTTACAGGAGACGGTAGGAACAACTCCATTTCATCCATATTTTTGAAGATGAAAGTAAAAGCTGGGTTTTTTTTTTTTAATTTCCCCATGTTCTATATTTTCATGTTCTCACCACAAATTGTACTCTTGACGCTAGTTATTATGGTATCTTGTGGGAAATTTAAACGTACTTTTTTCTTGGCACTATTATAAATATTGTCATTAGTATAACATAACTTGCAAAAATGAAATACAAATGTCAATCTCTTCTCTCATCATGTGAAATGAAAGATAGTTCTAAATGTTTTCATTGGAGATACAAACTATTTATTCCTCTTTTTAGTTTACTTTTTTTGGTATTTTATTGACTGTAGGCTGTTATCCCCTTCTTCCCCCCCCCCCCAGCTGAAGGACATCTTGGTATGTAGCACATTAGAGAGACCATAATCATGGAGTGAATATAATCTAAATATACATTTTTAGAGCAGGAGATGGTAAACTACTACCCCAAGGCTCACATGTTCCTATTTATGTAAGTTTTCAGTGAAATGCAGCCACCCTTATTATTGAATATATTTCTAAATATTTATAATCTACATAATCAGAATGTTAAGTGTGAAGTTGAGCCAACAGTGCTGACAATTAAGTTCAGAATACAGTATTATTACACTAATATATACAAAACAATATGACATTTCTACTTCAGTTTGTGAAATAAGCTTGTGACCAAGGGTGTTACTCCAAGTCATTGGTGTTTTTGTATTTGCAGTGACATTTCTGAATGAGTTCTCTTGAACCTCTGTGGGGTTCCCAAAGTATCTTAAAGAGAAGGTCATTTAATTCACTGAGAATCTTTTGGAGGACTTCTGCAATCTGCAGGGTACAATGTGTGTTCAAAGACATGGAGGTGGTGGGTCTTTCACAAACGGAGAGGCTTTAGTGATTTGCTAATTTGGGAATCCTATACCTTTTGGAGAAATATTGGAGTGCTGAAACATTTATTATGTCTTTCCAACTTCTGACCTGATTTTCATTTAACCAGTTGTGCCATTTTGCACATACCTGAATAAACAAAACAACGACAACAACAAACTACCAAAAGTAGGATCTGTGAGCCTGGTTTAAACGAAGACCCCAAAGAATACATTCTTACTATCTTATTGTCTTTAAACAGGGATGCAGCTCGAAGTTCCTGCGTGCACCCCTGGATTCCACTCACAGGCCCCGCCCACCTCCCCAGGACTTAAGGTTAATATGACAACATTTAAGAGACAGAAGGGCCTTAGAGACCTAATCTCTTCACAGGTGTTAAAAATCTGCATGCAGAGGAAGGGACTGCCACTCAGCCTGTGGTTCCTTCCCTTTGGTCCTTAATTGCACACAGCATGCAGTCATGAGCATCAGGTTTCACCAGCTAGGGAAAGAGAGAGTAACAGCAGTGCAGAGTTGCCAGCTTTAGTAATTCCAGTTCCTGGAAACAAGCACAGAAGCCTTTTCGTTACTTGCACACCCAAACTTTTGTAGCTTCCATTGAATAAATCATTTAACTGTCAGCAAATTATAGTGTTGGGAATAGTTTACATCATCTCTTTTTCACAGAAGCTTTTAATGGAAGACCGTGGAGATTAAGACGCCTGACAACGTCCTGGACACAAAAAAGAAAGCTGACCTAGAGAAAGATGGGGCAGAGATGAACACTGAACACGTCTTAGGCAGCAGAAGGCTCACTCACGGTAGCCTACTTAAAAGTTGTGCCGATCTGAACACTTGACATCAATGCCTGAAAATTGACTGTGTGACCTTGTGTTAGTAACAGCGCCACTTTATTGACAGATCATCATGGTGCATACAGCAAGCATTCGCTTGTGCAGGGAACTTCGTGAGGCAGGTACGATTACCACCCCACTTCACCGGTGCAGACCCTGAGTTGAAGAGAAAACCGAGTGCAGTGGGCAAGGTTGGGCCCCATATGCAAAATGCACCCCCTGCTCTGTTGCCTGCTCCCAGGTGTCAGACACCGCAGTGGTTCAAGGCCGTCTGTGGTTCTGGAGCAAACCCTGGGCGCTGTCCGGCCCACGGTCCTCGCTTCCTGCGGAGGGGCTGGGGGCGGGGACGGGGGCGGCGGGGGCTCGGCCTTGCCTGCAGCCCGGCGGGAGCGCGCCCGGCGGGAGTGCGGGAGCAGCGCACGTGCCGCCGGGAAGGCAGGGGCAGCCTGCCCGCGCCAAGATGGCGGCGGCCGCCGCGGCCGCAGCGGCGACTGTTGGCGGCCGGTGAAGCGGGCGGGGCCGGCGGCGCGGAGGCGGGGTCCCGGGCGAGCCGCCCTGGGGAAGGCGGGGGCCGTTTCCATAGCGGCGGCGGCAGGAGGTGTCGCGCCGGGGAACTTCCTGGTTCCCGGGCTCGGCTTTGCCGGGAGCCTCCTGGAAGGGAAACAATGGGGCGGAGGGCACTGCGGTAGCCGCCGCCACCGCGCCGGACCCGCTCGGCCTCCCGCGACTGGCCGCCGCCGGGACCGCCCTGAGGTAACTTCCTTTTCTCCCGTGTCGCTGCTAGAGGGGCTGGAGGGGTCGAGGGCGAGGGGCCCGGAATGGAATTGCCCCGGGCAGCCGGACGCCGCCATTCCCGGCCCGGGGCAGAGGGCACGCGGCGGCGGTGCGGCCTGGACCGAGCCGGCTCACCCAGAGCCCGCGCGCAGTGTGGCGCGCGCCGGGGGTCCGCGGTGTGATTGGCAGGCGGGCGGGCGCGGGCCCGGGGCCGGGAAACGTCCAGCGCAGCGTGCAGACCCCCGGAGAGGCCGAACCCTTTGGCCGCCATCCTCCTCCACCCTGGTGCAAGTTTCGGTCCCTGGGGAGACGTGTCTCCCTCACAAGTTTCAGTTGCGTCCTGCGGGAGCGCGAGTGGGCAGGACCCAGGCAAACTTCGTTCTCTGAAAAAACGATTGCCTGGATGCCGCAAGAACTTTGTTTGGAGCAGCCTCGGGGAGGATGGGCGTGAGGGAGGGATCTGGAAAGCCTGGAAATCTGTGCACCCTTGCGAAGTTTTACAGGATACCTCGGAGCTCGCAGGTGTTTTAATGCCCGCAAACGACAAATCTGACTCCATGGTGGGACGTTCATACAAGTTGAGCATTGGATATCTCTGGGCTCTATTTAGCCACCCCTTGTTTAATCAACAAATATTTATTTTATTTTTAAAGTTAGCTGACATCACATTTTCGAATAAAGTGTGCGTTAGTAGATTCTCCTCATTCATTTCATAGAAAATTTTAGATGACTTTAATATGCTTTGTGCCATATGGATTGGAAAGACTCGGTGAATCGGGCCAATACCCAGTCTTTAAGAATAATGTGACATGAATGCAAGTAGTAAGGACAGTGTCCTAAATATTCTTGCTGGAAGAATTCAATCGTGGATCAGGTTTTTTTCCCTCTTTCCCTTCCTTCCTTGTACGTATCATTTATCTACCTATCTATTTGTCTGTCTGTCTGTCTATCTACTATCTATGAGACAGTTAATATTTCATAGTTTAGAAAAGTTTTTCAGGACGTTTGAGATCACCTCTGGCCAGTTCTTTCCCATCTTGAATCTCTGCAAAGTTTTTGTCGGGGTGTTGAAGGGGGGCACTAGGGTGGAGTTTAAATTTTTTTCCCTTTAAGTTATCTTAGTAATCAATAAACTGGCACAGGGTGAACAGTGTCTCATTCCTTCACTCCCTAAGACCCCATAATTAATAAAATATCTTCTAGTTTCTCATAATTTTATAAGAGAAATTGTAAGCATGGCACCCTTCACTCCTTAAGGTGGATGATTGGTCCTAGTTTGTACTCTCCACAGGTCATTAAGCTATACGTCGAAATGGAAAAGGAAATTATACTGATAACAGTGTAAATTAACTTTGGAAGGAAATACACAGTCCTAATTGCAAGGATAGGGGTCCCTAGTTAAAGAATCAGTGAGTTCTCACAGAACTATTTGAGAAGCATCATCCTTTGCCAAACTTTCATCAGAGTTTGGGTCCTGAGCCTTGGTGCTGGCTGCTACTTACCCTTCCTTCAACTCAACTGTATAGCTCTGGGTTGTGCTTGGTTCTGCTGAGTATAATCCATTACAGCCTCCCCTTTAAAATATTAAGATTTATTATTTTATGTGTATGAGTGTTTTGCCTGCATTTGAGTGTGAACACCATATGTGCGCCTGTTGCTGTCAGGGGACAGAAGAGGGTGTCAGAACCCCTGGATCTGGAGTTGTGATTATGAGCCATCCTGGATGCTGAGAGTCAAACCTGGATCCTCTGGAAGATCAGCAAGTGTTCCTAACAACTGAGCAGTCTCTCCTGTCCTGCATCCCTCCCTGAGCAGTGTTTTGTTAGGCAGGCAACCCTCAGTGAGGACAGCTGGTCTGGTGTAAACAAGTCAGTAAGTAGAAGGCTTGGTGTTGGGTGTAAATTGACTGATCATCTTCAAGCATTGTACAGGAACCAGCAGATCCAGTCTGGGTCTCCAGTGCCAGGCAGATGGCACTGGTCTATCTTTGCCATCTTCAAATTATTGTGATAGTTTGTAGCCAGTAAAGATGGTTGAAGAAAGCCAGTGAGTTCAACCTTGTAGCCAATTGAGAACAAAATTATTGAAAAGTAAAGGAATGTTAAGCCGGCAGTGGTGGCACACGCCTTTAATCTCAGCACTCAGCACTCGGGAGGCAGAGGCAGGCAGATCTCTGTGAGTCCTCCGAGGCCAGCCTGGTCTACAGATCTACCAGAGAAACCCTGTCTTGGGGGGGGGGGAACCCCACAAAACGAAACAAAAAAGTTAAGGAATGTTAAGGAAGTTTAGAAGTCAGCCAAAAAAATTAGAATACCAAAACTAAGAATTGCTACTTCAGATAGAATGAGACATTTTCTGGATTTTGAGTTTAATTCTACCTTAACCATCCTTGTTTTGTAACTAGTGCAATTCAGACTAATTATCATAGACTCACAGTTTGTCCCTTCAGTGTAATTTGTGAAAAGCATTTTTCCATCTGTAAAATGTGATCTAATTATATATTAGAGAATTATTTTCCCCTCTAAAAAGGTTTGTACCATGTTTACAGTCAACATAAGAATTGCAATTTGAAGAGCGTCTGACCTGTAGCACACTTCCATGTATACAGGGATTAGAGGGTGTGGGCATTGGAGTCACAGGGACGATTCTCCACTGGCTAGTGTTATTTACAGGTTTTACCATCTCATGACTTAGTTTAAAAAAAAAATTCTCTGTAACATTAGGATATTTTGAGGGTGAGGAGAGTGTACATAGTAACTGAGCTGGGTTGGTGTCCAGTGAGCCCAGGCATCCTCCTGTCTCCCTACTCCCTAGTTTATGCTTGGGTTTAGTTTACTTCCAAGTTGTTCTTTCTTTTGGGATTTGGTATTTTAAGTTCTTAGTTGAAATCAAGGGGATGGTTCACTTGATATTTCTCATACTGTGACACTTTGCCTTCTTAGTGCAGTGTAAAATCTCAGGCACTTGTTTTGATCAGGCAGCAGTTTCCTGGGATAAAGAAGCCCAAGGGTGCTATGCTCTCCATTTTGGATCCTTAATCTCTTCTGGACTGTGTTTGCTCTCTCCTTAGTATCTTGTCAGTTCTTGGATATATCCTTTTAAAAAAGTATATAGTGTGCATACTACAGTGTGTATTACTAGTCTTAAATGCATGTCATGAAGATTTTTAATAATGTAATTAACTGTAATTTAACTCAGTTCAATCTGTAGAGTATTTCATGTGCCCCAGAGGTTTATTACAATTGTTTCCAATCAGTATCCTCTTTCTGCCTTGTATCTAGCTAGGTCTTAATTTTCTATCACCATGGGTTAGTCTTGCCTCTTTTAGTTTTTTTTTTATAGACATAATGTCATACAACAGATACTGTGTTGTATTTGGTTTCTTTCATTCACATTGTATCGTGTAAGTGAGTTTCATTTATGTTGTTATATGTAGCTGTTTCTTTTTATTGTCCAGTATTTGTTTTAGTTACTCTGGCTACCTAAAAAATTGTTCAGGGGTGTAGATTGAAACAGTGGGGTTATTTGCTTTCTCCACACATCTGCAATTTGGGCAGTGCTTATGTCTGTTTCCCTCAGTTTCAGGTCAGGTTGCTTGAAGGCCAGGCCTAGTATTGTATGAAAGATTGCTTCTCTGTCTGAGAGTTGGTGATATGACACTTAGATGCAGCCTAGCAGTATGGCTTGAGGTTGCTCACATGAGCTGTGTGGCTGGATTCCAAGAAAAAGGGAGAGGATTAGAGAGCTTGGGGGTTGAGGCACACAGAAGCTATATTGTCTTTGACACTTAGACTTGGCACTTCTGTACTATTAATGCCCATTGTGCATTAATTACTACTTGAGGCAGTTGTAAAATGCCCGTCTTGTAAAGGGACCCGTTTCTTGACTGGGAGAGACAAGATTCTAAAAAAATCATGCAGGATCATACTGCAGTAACTATTATCAGATTGCCACATTGGTGGCCTAATCCATGACTACTTATTAGTTTATCCATTCTACTTTTAATAGGCAATTAGGTTGTCCTCAGTTACTGGGTGCTATAATAGAGCTGCTGTGAACATTTTTACTTGTGTAGTTTGTTGGATATATGGACTTCTTCCTTTTGGCTTTCCCTAGGAATGGAACTGTTGACCAATAGGTAGACATACAGTTAGTTAGCTTTAGTAGTCATTTAGCAAACATTTGTTTATATTCTTGGTATTTTCAGTATCTTAAAACTACACATAGTGTATATTGTTTGGCCAGTTCTTTGTCTTCTAGGGAGATAGATGGTCTGGATATAACATTTGTGGAAATGCAGTTCCTTCTTTCTTCTTTCTTTTTTGTGCATGTGTTTGTGTGTATGGTGTGCATACCTGTATGTGTGCCTAGTGTCGTGTATAGGCACACCCGTGTAGGTAGACATGTGAAGACCCACGGCTGATATTAGGAGACTTGTATCACTCTTTACCTTACTCCCTTTACCTTACTCCCGGAGACAGTGTCTCAACTGAAGCAGGGTTTGCTATTTCTGCTAGTGTCAAGCTCGCCACCATGCTCCAGGAATTCCTTGCCATGCCGACCTAGCAGTTACATGGGTTCTGGAGACCCTGCATTCATCTTCTCTCTTGCCTGACAAAAGCACTGTTTTCTTAGCCCTGAGTGATCTCCCCAGTCCATGAAACTTTCTTTCATATGTAACACAGAGCTAGATGCTTAGTTATTGGAAAGTAGGGATTATGTAGAAGGGTGTGATTGGGGAGTACTAGGGCAGTTTTCAAAACATCATTTTATGGAATGTACTCAAAGATTATGTACATTAATTGATGGAGAGAGTGTTTTAGACTTTTTTTTTTTTTTTTTTTTTTTTTTAGAAATTCATTTTTAAAGACATTGAACAATGTCCCCTTAACAATGTATATCACATTTTGTTGATAGTCAGTGCTTTAGTATCAGTTTGAATCCTAAGCTCATTTCCCAGGATTACTTGGGGTTTATTT